TTTTGACAGCTTCTACCTGTGTCCTCAAAGGGTCAGAATTTGGCTGATCTGACTTCCCTGTCCTGCAAGCCCAGGAGTCAGTGTTCTGGTTTCCTCTGCTATGCACATTACCTGTCAGTCTCTATTCTGAGCACATGGGTCTCGAAGATGACCCAAGAAGGTGTAATAATATGCTCTGTGGTTTGCATCTAGAGACCTGTCCCCTTTTCTGGGATCTAAACGCTTCCACTTTAAATCTCCAGCTCCCCAACCAAGGCCTCCCTCCACGATCAGCCAAATGATTCCCCTGGTGTATTTTATGGAACAAACCCTTCCTGGGGGAAAATCCTTGGGAAAGGAAAACACTGCGAGCCTCATCCTTGGAGGCACACGGTACGTGGATGGCATATTAAAGGCTCTGAGAAGGCCTGCAGGAAGAGATACCGATTTCACTCCTGTTTCACTCAACTTTTCCCCAAGTTCATTGAGCATTCACCAACCACAGAGTTTGTATCACCCTCTCCCAATTCCCCCCCCCCACACACACACACAATAGTTATTCACCACCAACATCTAGGATGGGGCCTGGAATATAACATCTGTTAAAATAAAAAAAAAAAAACATTTTTTAAGTTAACAACCCACAGAATTCCGCAGGATCGACTTTGGCAATGCCACTGAAGCGGCTGCTCTCCTCCGATGTCCCCAGGCCATCTAGGCTACGCCATATGTTGCTAACCACAACCATCTCTGTAACTGTCATTTATTTAGCACTTGCTAAATAACTTGCATGCAATTAAGTGCCAGAGCCTTCAACCTGTCATCCCTTATCATCCCTGTAACCATCATCTGAGGTAGGTAATATTCATCTATGATTATCATTTTGCCCCCAACACACACACACACACACACACACACACACACACACACACACACACACACACACACACTCAAATGAATCAAGATAGTTAAAGTGAATAGCCTGATTAGAAAAGCTAGAATTCGAAATGGCACCAATTTAACTCTAAAACTCATGACTTTTTTTTTTTTTTTGGTCAGTTGTGAGGCTTGAACTCGTGGCCCAGGTACTGTCCCTGAGCTCTTTTCCTCAAAGCTAACACTCTACCACTTTGAGTCACTGTTCTACTTCTGGTTTTCTAGTGGTTAATTGGAGATAAGTCTCATGGACTTTCCTACCCCGGCTGGCTTTGAACCGCAATACTTCTGATCTCAGCCTCCTCAGTAGCTAGGATTTCAGAGTGAGCCACTACCTCTTAATGATGACCTTTTCTTTTCCATCAAAATATCTCCTATGAACATACTGTAGCTGGCAATGCTACCCATTCACACCTTCCCTGGCACTGGCAGAATATGAATGTTGAACAGGAAAGACAACAGGTCCTCAGAAACAAATGATCGTGATGGTGTCCCCAGTTCCCCACTCCCTGACTCCCTTGCAGCTAGAGTATCATTTAACTCTGGCCAAGATGCTTATAATGAAACACGGCTGTTGAGATAGTGAAGAGGAGGTGTCCTAGGGAAGTCTTGATTGCTAGTAACCAAAAGTAAGACCCTCTCATCCATCTCCACTCTCCAAGTCCAGCTCTTCCCTGCCTGGAACACAGATGTGAAAAGCTACAAGCCCCATCTTGCAAGAGATCAACCCTGATTTTACTGGGGAGAGGAAAAAAAAATCAGAGCTAGACTGAACTAACTCTAGTAGCTCCTAACCTCTGTTACACAATAAGAGAAAAAACAAAATCATTGGCTTCAAGGCTGTTGTTGGGTTTTTAATTCCATGGAGCTGAATGCAATTCTTTTTTCTTTTTTCTTTTTTTGTCAGTCATGGGGCTTGAACTCTGGGTCTGGGCACTGTCCCTCAGCTCTTCAGCTCAAGCTGGGTACTCTACCACTTGAGCCACAGCGACACTTCCAGTTTTCTGGTGGTTTATTGGAGATAAGAGTCTCACAGGCTTTCCTGCCCAGACTAGCTTTGAACCATGATCCTCAGATCTCAGCCTCCTGAGTAGCTAGGATTACAGGCGTGAGCCACTGGAGCCCAGGTCTGAATGCAATTCTTAATGGATTCACATTAATGGTATCTCCCATCATCATCATCATTTCACAGTTAAGATTCGCCTTTCCTTCCCATACACCCAGGCCACCTCCTGAAGACAAAGTCTATGTTTTGTGGTTTTGTTTTGACAGATGCACGTGTTACTGGACATCACCTGCCATCAAGGTATTTGGGGTGGTCCATGAGTTACTAACTTCTGTGAGCAGGGAGTTTTTCTCCATTAAATGGCTGAGACATGGCATCTGTCTCCTAGTGGATCCATCTTTCCAAACATGCCCTGGGAAAACTTGCATCCAAAGCTCAAGACACGAATACAGACTCCCTAGTCCTTCTCCCAGTACTGACTGCATTTGAATCTCTAGAGTTCAGGCAGACAGTGACATTTTAATGAACACCCTTTTGATACACAAAATTTGACCACTGTTGGAGGAAAACCAAACAAACCACCTATGGATCCAAACAGGAAGTTTTGGCAGGATTGTGTGTGTGTGTGTGTGTGTGTGTGTGTGTGTGTGTGTGTGTAACCAGTACTAGGGCTTGAACTCTGGGCCAGGATGCTGTCCTTTAGCATTTTTGCTAAATGTTCTACCACTTGAGCCACTTCTCTACTTCCAGCTTTTTGGTGGTTAAATGAAGATAAGAGTCTCAGGGACTTTCCCGCCTGAGACCTTAGCCTCCTGAGTAGTTAGAATTATAGGTGTGAGCCATCAGCCATGGCTCAAGTTTGGCAGGATTTGACCTGAAATCACTAACCCCTCTTCAGTGGCTCCTCCTTTGCCCTAGAGATCCAAGAAGTCTAAATAGCTGTATTAGCTCCAGACCAATCCCTGGGCAATGTGGATAAAGTGGCTGGTATGCCCAGTGGCATGATGGGAGTAAGAGACTACAGCTATACCCCATCACCACCCTGGTTTCCAAGGAAAATCACCCTGCACATGGGAAGTGACAGAACCTAGCATCTACTACCACAATCGCCGCTGTCCAGGGAGTTACCTGAGGTCGAAGTCATGTTTGAGAGGAAGGAATAGAAAACTTCAGGAAACTTCCATGGCCATCTATAAACTAGCACTGTGGGGGGAATCCTGTCTCTGATGAAGGGATCTCAGGTGATCCTCAGAGTGTGTGTATGTGGAGGGAGAAGGAGTTGTCCTATTTCTTGAAGACATCCTCCATGCAATTCTGAATCATAAACAGTACCAGCTTTGGGACACTGTGCAGACTGAGACATGAGTAGTTTGGGCCAGTACATCTCACAATTTGTCTTCCAGCAGCCAGGTATTAGCCAAGCCTCTCTCAAGTGCTCAGAGAAGCAGTCAGTACCTGTGCCTGCCAACCTGCCCTTCTCACTCCCCCCAATATCCCCTGGCATTTATCTAATTTCATCGGGAAGATCAAGTTCCCAGATGACAGGTGCACACAGACATGCATGGGAAGGAGGGAGAAAACACAATATTAAAATTCACAAACACACACACACAAACTCCTCTTTCCAAAGGATGACATCCTATGGGTTGACATCAGCCACATTTCAAAGCAGAGAATTAAAAAAAAAAAAAAAAGGAAAGAAAGCAAGCCTGGGGAAATGAATCAGAGAGAAACACTCGCCCAGGCAGAGAGCCACGAGAGCCAGTAAGGGCTGATGAGTCCAGGCCTTGGGAGCACGCGGGCCTCAACTCCTGCGTCCCACGAACCTCTCAGCAGTGTGCTTGCCTACTTCACCTACAGGGCCATCTGCTTCACCCCCAAGTCCCACTGCCAACACCCTCAGGTAACGCCAGCTGCCAAGAGTTCCTGAATTAATCGAGCCATGTGGGCAGCAGGGCCATTTTGGGGACAGAAGATGAGCTGATTCCCTCATACATCTTAGACCACCTGAGCACCAAGAGAGTACGCAAACACCAGGCATTTTCAAAGGATGCTAAAGCTTTCCACAAACCCCAAGGGGCCTCCGCGAGAAATCATCTGTGCCATTTTCTTGGTGAGAACCTCTGCATCCACACCACCCCTCAAAAAGAAAAAGAAAAAAAAAAGAAACAACTGCTACAAACTCCTTGTCAAGTTCATTTGAAGAGAGAGAGAAAAAAATCACAACAACGCCAAAGATAACTCCTCCTCCTTCGGATCCTTCTCTCTCAAATCTCACCAAGATCCAAAAGGATTTTCCCACGCCACTTGTGCAAGCTGATCTCAGCATAATTCCTCCCTCCCCCCCCCCCCCCCGTTTCTTTTTTACACATCTTTAGGCCCTGCTGCAGCTTGCTGAACCAAATGTGATCGTATTGGAAATGGATAGCTGACTTCAGTGACATGGTTTATTTCCGTGCATCTCACTTCCCTTCCCAACATGCATTATCACTGAGAAAATAAAAAATAAAAAAAAAAAATCACAGAGCGAAAGGGAGGCTGGGAAAAGGGGGGAGGCGAAGAGGTCTACCTGTCCAGGCAGCCCCATTAGCCTGCCAGTAAAAACAAAACAAAAACAAAAAAAAAGAAGGAAAGAAAGAAAGAAAAACACCTTTTGACCACCTGCAGAATGCACGAGGTCACGTGGGCCCTCTGCAGCTCCAGAATCTCTATCCAACACACAACCCCCCCATGGCATATAAACAAACCTACAAGCAGGAGAAGGAAAAAAAAAAGCCCAACTCCCTGCTCCTGAACGCAAGCTACCAAAATAATAAAGAATAGCAATTACTACTGTTACTACCTCCTAGACAGACATCAGATGCACAGAACACCAATCCAGCCCACCTCAGTCACCCCTCCCCCGCCCCCTCGGCCCCCAACAAACAGAATCCCAGGGGAAGAGGATGGTCGGGGAGGAGGGGAAGGCAGGCAGGCAGGCAGGCTGACCCCAGCACCAGCATCACCACCACCATCACCATCATCACACACACACACACACACACACACACACACACGCCGCCAAAGCAGCAGCACCTACCTCCAGGGTCCGGATCTCTTTTTGTGTGAGGTCGTTGGAGGTAGCACACTTGGTCCTAAGCCCTTCCAGGTTAGAAATGCTCAAGTCTATCATGTTTTGGACCAGCTCGCACTGTTGTAACGCTTTTTGCAAACTCAGAGGCTGCAGCTCCTCGCCTTTTGTCATGTTTTCCTCATCCATCGCTTGCTCTGTAACCCCCCCCTTTCTCCTCCTCCCTCCTCCTCCTCCTCCTCCTCCTCCTCCTCCTCCTCCTCCTCCCAGACAGAAAAAAAAAGGGGGGGGAGGTAGGGAGCAGAGGTGGAGGGAGCGAACCCCCTCCGCCTCGCCAACCCCTGCGACTTGTCACCGATGTCTCCTGAAGAAGAAACCCAACATCTCACACGGGGCTGAGGGGGTGGGGTGGGAGGAGGGGACGGAGCCGAAATTTATTATTTTATTTTGGGGTAGCAGGCAGTCTCCATTAGCCCCCCCCCCCCCGCCCCGTCCCTGACGAGGAGCGATGGTGTTTCTTAGGAGCGAGCCAGGTGCTGTGATGCTGTTCCGAGCACTTGGGGAGGAAGGGGAGGAGGAGGAGGAGGAGGAAGAGGAGGAGGAGGAGGAGGGCAAGCAGCGCTCACTCGGCACCCGGCTCCGGGACGGACGGACAGACAGACAGACAGACAGGTTTGGCTGGCGGGCTTTTATGTCAGGAGGCGGCGGCCCGCGGGGACCGCGCATGGTCGGCGGCGCTAGCGCGGTGAGCGGCTGCGGGCGGCCCGGCGGCTCCCGCGGCGGCGGCGGCGGCGGCGGCGGCGGCGCCCACTGCGGCGGGCGGCCGCGTCCTCTGCGCGCTGCTGCGGCCGCCGCCGCGCTCCGGGGGTGACGGCGGCTGCGATCGCCCCGGCCGCGCTCCGCACCGACATCTTGCCTGTCAATCACGGGGCGGGGAGGGGGCGGGGGAGCGGGGGACCCGCGGGGCGCGGGTTGGCGGAGAGGCGCGGAGCGCGCAGCCGCCCGGCCCCGGGCGCGCGCACCTGGGGAAGGGGAGGGGGAGGAGGCGCGCGCACCTGGGGGAGGGGAGGGGGAGGAGGCGCGCGCACCTGGGGAAGGGGAGGGGGAGGAGGCGCGCGCACCTGGGGGAGGAGAGGGGAGGAGGCGCGCCCACCTGGGGGGAGGGGAGGAGAGGGGAGGAGGCGCGCGCACCTGGGGGGAGGGGAGGAGAGGGGAGGAGGCGCGCGCACCTGGGGGAGGGGAGGAGAGGGGAGGAGGCGCGCGCACCTGGGGGAGGGGAGGGGAGGGGGGAGGCGCACCTGGGGGAGGGGAGGGGAGGGGGGAGGCGCGCGCACCTGGGGGAGGGGAGGGGAGGAGGCGCGCGCACCTGGGGGGGAGGGGAGGAGAGGGGGAGGAGGCGCGCGCACCTGGGGGAGGGGAGGGGAGGGGAGGAGGCGCGCGCACCTGGGGGAGGGGAGGGGAGGGGGAGGAGGCGCGCGCACCTGGGGGGGAGGGGAGGGGAGGAGGCGCGCGCGCCTGGGGGAGGGGAGGGGGAGGCGCGCGCACCTGGGGGAGGGGAGGGGAGGGGGAGGAGGCGCGCGCACCTGCGGGGAGGGGAGGGGAGGAGGCGCGCGCACCTGGGGGAGGGGAGGGGAAGAGGAGGAGGCGCGCGCACCTGGGGGAGGGGAGGGGAGGGGAGGGGGGAGGCGCGCGCACCTGGGGGAGGGGAGGGGAGGGGAGGGGGGAGGCGCGCGCACCTGGGGGGAGGGGAGGGGGAGGAGGCGCGCGCACCTCGGGGAGATGACCGAGGCGCGCGCACCTGGAGAGGGGAGGGGGCGAGGGCGGGGTTTCCCGGGCCCGTGGCGCTGGCGTGGCCGAGCGCAGTTCCTAACGGGCGCGCAGATGGGGCGGGGGCGAGGGTCACCCCAGGCCCCCAGGCCGCCGCTCCCAGAGGTGGAGATGCGGGGAAGGAATCCCGAGCGAGGGGGCGGGGAGAGACAGATCGATGCCCTGGTGCGGGTGGACCCCCGCAGCCCCCTCCCGGCTCTCGCGAGACCCGGGCGGGCGGCGCGGCAGGTGCGCTCGGGCTGGGAGCAGGTGTGTGCGCCCTCCCGCGCGGGAGGCCGGCGTGCGCGGGGACGTGTCCTACCGGCCCTGCGGCTCTGCGACCAGCCTGCCGGCCTGGCATTTCGTTCGTTCTTGTTACTGGGATGGAGGTGGGGATCAGTCCATTGGTAAATGACTGATTTCCTGGGCCTGGGGAAGCTGGCTCCTTCCCTTGGTCTAGCCCTGGTCTGGTCCCCGTGGGCTATCGATTTCCAGAAAAAAAAAGATTTACTTTTTCTGCTCATACCATGTCCAGTTTACCTACCTAGGTCTGACTGCAGTCTTAATTTATATCAGTAAATAATGGTACCAAAATTAAAGTGTGTGTGTGTGTACTGGAGCTTGAACTCAGGGCCTGGGCCATGTCCCTTAGCTTTTTTCACTCAAGTCTGGTGCTCTACCACTTGAGTCTCGGCTCCACTTGCAGATTTTTGGTGGATAGTTGGAGATAAGAGTCCCACAGACCGGAAGTGGCGCTGTAGCTCAAGTGGTAGAGCGCTCGCCTTGAGCTGAAGAGCTGAGGGACAGCGCCCAGGCCCAGAGTTCAGGCCCCACGACGGACAAAAAAAAAAAAAAAAAAAAGAGTCTCACAGACCCTCCTTCCCCAGCTGGCTTTGAACTGCATTCCTCAGATCTCAGTCTCTGAATTCAGTACCTAGGATTGATTACACGTGTGAGCTACCAGCGCCCGGCAAGAATGGTTTTTGTGGTTTAGTTTGGGGGGAGAGAGTACATCAAAAGGAGAATATGATAAATACAGTTTTATTGGAATACCACTGCCCATTTGCTTGCTATCTGCAGTTAACTTTTGCCTTCTAACAGGAAAGCTGAGTACCTGCAACAGAGACATGTATGGCACAGGACACCTAAAAGATTTACTATCTGGCTCATTCCAGAAAAGTGTACCAACTCCTGACTAAATCTTCTGAGACCATATTCCACCCAGACCCTCTTCTAGCCGGTCTCTTCGTCACTCAGCTTCAAGTCACATCTCAGAGAAGGCCTTCCTCCTCTGGTGCCATGGAATGCACCTGTGGTCCCAGCTACTTGGGAGGCTGAGGCAGGGGGAGCCTTTGAAGCTAGGAACTTAAGGCCGACCTAGGCAACATAGTGAGAAGCCTCAAGGAGAAAAACAATATAGCAAAAGGCACCTATTACTGTCTGTGAGCAGGGCAATGAGGACGCCAAGGAACCATAGATCTGAAAAGTCAAAAGAAGCAATGGCCAGGAGCTGGTGGCTCACGCCTATAATCCTAGCTACTCAGGAGACTGAGATCTAAGGATTGTGATTCAAAGCCAGCCTGGGCAGAAAAGTCTCCATAAGACTTTATCTCCAATAAACTACTCAGAACAGGCCAGAAGTGGCACTGTGCCTCAAGTGCTAAAGCACTAGCCTTAAGCAAAAGAAGCTGAGGGGCCAGACCCTGAGTTCAAACCCCAGAATTGGCACCAAAAAGGAGGGGGGGAGAGGAGGAGAAGGAAGCAATTGTTGGCAAATTTCTTATTTTTTAGGACTATATAAGATTTTACGGCTCATGCAGGCCAACGAAGTATCTTCAAAATCTCTATTAGACTGAAGACCTGGAGCTGTGTGGAAGAACACTTTCCTAGCATTGGGCCCTGGGCAGTCCTTCTGCTGATCCTTTCAGTTAGTGTCATCTCTTAAGAACAGCATTATTTTCGGGTATTATAAATCTAGCCCCATCCTATCAGAACTTTATTCCGCATCCCCATCCCTTTCAGGCTAATGCACAGATGGCCCTGGGGCCCACAGTGGACAGGGGTGGATGCGTCCTTTCCCTCCTGCTCTCCAACTTACCTGGCTGGATATAGGAGCCTCAGAGGGCTGAGTGGAAAATGGATCCTTGGCAGAGAACAGGGAGGTAGGTACAGGGTGTCAGATGCACCCCTTTCTCCTGCCAAGCCCTTACTTGTTGGCACATGGGACACACTGAGGAGTCTTCAGAGACTCCCTTCCTCTTATATTCCCTACTCCACACCCCCCAGACTCTACCCCCACCTCTTCTGGGGTCCCCTGGCTAGAAGGCTGCCCTCTTGGTTGATTGCAGTGTGGCACAGGCCAGGCTTGCTCTACAGGGGTCATCTGGCCCCGGGGGGAACAGGCCAGGCCTGTCAAGAAACCTGCACTGGCTACGATAAGACCTTATCAGATATGGGCTAGAGGTTGATGCTTTTGGATGATCCAAGGACCAGTCTGGTCACCCCGGAACTGTATTTTACCCACTGCCCTCACTTTGGAACTAAGCCCAAGTTCTAGAGCAGCCAGAAAAGTCTCATTCCACACTTGTTGTATTAATCATGACCTGACCCCAAGCTTGCAAAACTGCATTATGTGTAAAGTTACAAACTGGGAAGTGGCAGTTTAGGAGACCATCCCTGGGGGAGTGGAAAGGGAAGGGGGAGGGTAGGAAGGAGGAAGAGGGTAGGAAGAAAAGGAAAAGGTGGAGGAAGAGGAGGAGGGGAAGGGAGAGGAGAAGAGAAAGAGGAGGGGAGGGGGAAAGAGGAAAGGAGAAAAGGAAGAGGAAGAGAAGGCTAAAAAATGATAGCTTAAAGAGTGAGCTGGGGTCATGTGGTAGAGTACCTGCCTACAAATCTCGAGTGCAAAAAAAAAGTAAATTGGATGCAATGGCTCACATCTGTAATCCCAGCAACTCGGAAGCTGGAGTTGAGGATTACAGCTCAATGGCATCACAACTAACAGGGCCTGGCAATATGTCATCACAGCTATACAGAAGACATACGTAGATCTATCTAAGCAAAAGCATGAGACACTATCCAGAAAATAAAAGTGCTAGGAGTATGTCTCAAGTGTCAAAAGAGTGCCTGGTAAACAAACACAAGGCCCTGAGTTCAAACCCCAGTACTTTCCCTATCTTCCCCTGAGAAAACTTCACCCCTGATTTCCACTGACCTAGAAGGTCTGGTTCTCAGAAGCTTATCAAGTCCTCTGACATAACTGATAGGGCCTGGCAACACAACCCCTGTTGAAAATAACACACACACACACACACACACACACACACACACACACACACACACACACACACAAACACGTCATGATGGATGGACACATAGCATTCTTA